TTTTTTCTGTAATTTCAAATAAATTCTTCACCAACAGAAATCACCTCAAAATTCAATAAAAAATCCCTTAAAGTTCAATTATTTTCAAAAATCTAAATTGTAAATATTTGAAAATTTAATTACTTTTAAAAAATGTTTTTAATAAATTTAAACTTATTTAATAAATTATTTTCAGTTCTGTATAATTTAATTATTTTCTGAAATTTGAAAAAAAAACTTTTGAAATTCAATTATTATTTTCAAAAATTTCAATTTAAAATCTACTAAAATTTAATTATTTCTCAAATTTTGCATCGAAAATTTTCTAAAATTAATAATTTTAATAATTAATAATTTTATAATTTTAACTATAATTCTTATTCCGAAATTCAATTATTTTAAATAATTTTTATAATATTTTTCGAAAATTCAATTATTTGACAGAATTTGTCAATTAAAAACTTTTAAAGTTCAATTTTTGTTAGCATTTTGTCATAAAATCTTCTGCAACAGAATTTATGAAAAATTTCAATTAAAAATTCAATTATTTTCAAAAATCTAAATTGTAAATCATCGAAAATTGAACTGTCTGAAAAGAATATTGTATCTAAAATTATTCGAAAAATTAATTTCAATTCTGAAATATTTAATTATTGTCTGAAATTTAAAAAAAATCTTTTGAAATTCATTTATTTCTAAAAAAAAATTCAACTGCAACTTTTCCAAAATTCAATTATCTATTAGCATTTTTTTTCAATTAAATTTTTTTTGAAAACCAATTAATTTTAAAATTTCAACTATAATTCTTCCTAAATTCAATTATTTTCCATAATTTTAATGAAATTCTTTACAAATTCAATTATTTTACAATTAAACTATTTTTTCAATTCAAAATCACTTGAAATTCAATTATTTTAAAAAATTGAAATTAATTTAATTAATTTTTCAAATTATACCTTCACACGTGTATATGACGGGTCTTCTTATTGCACCGGGTCTCATATTATCCAATTTTCAATGGTAATTTTACGATATCTCGTAAAAGTTTTTATTACTAGAGAAACACACACGAAAATTTAAACTTTTGAAACTGCCTTCGATGTATATTTTAAAAGTGCGTACGTATAATTTGGAACTGCCTTCGATGTGAAAGGTTTCCCTTTATATATAGAAAGATTTTCGTATATGAATCTCTCGGCTGTACCAGCTCGCCTCTATAGGTTTGATTCAAAATCGGTACCTCACACACGTGAAAAATGCTCATGGCCCTCTTCTTGGTAGTAGTGGATTACGTATTTTAATTTCCTTATTTACATATTGTTTTTCACAATACCAATGATCAAGAACATAAAATTATTATAAAAATTCAGAAAATTATCTATTTTAACGTATATTGATCATAATTCGTTTACATTATTTATATTAAATAATTATTTATTTTCATGTTTAATATTTACAAATTTACAAATTATTTACAAGTGTTTGTTTTATTTGTAAACATTTGTTTATTTGTAAACAATTATTTGTTTATAAACAATTGTTTATTTACAAATATTTGTTTACAAATATCAATTATTTGTTTACAAATAACAATTATTTATTTATAAATATATTTATTTATTTATTTAAAAAATTAATTTCACAAAAAATATTATATTTATAAAATTGTTACGGTGATGTGACAATTTTTAAAATTTTCCTTTTAAAACTTTCTGAAATTTATTAATTTCAAATAGGGTCAGTCGGGGTAAATCCGAACGGGAGGTAAATCCGAACGCTAATTATTTCAGCTTAATTAAAATTTTTAAAAATAAGTTCGATATGAGAATTTTTACCTCAGATCCTCTTGAAGAGATTCTAAGTATTATCCCATTTTTTGTTTGTTAATTAGCAACAGCATAAACAAAGATAACAAGTATTGCAAAAAAGATTGAAAATCAAAGATGACACTCTTTCAGTATTTTGTCTCGTATTTAAAGAAAAAGAAGCTAAAAATTCATTTTATTATTTATAATTGTTTGTTATGAATACTAGAACAGAAACTATATTTGATTTTTGCCTTCTGTAAAATTTTATTAATAATATCAGACCGTTCGTATTTACCCAAGAAAATTGGAAAACTGGGGTAAATCCGAACGGTATTTTTAATAATTTTTTTTTACATCAGAGCCACACAAAATTGTTTTTATTTCATTACACTATTATTTTAACATTATAAAAGTACATAGAAAAAAGTTTTTCTTTCTATACGTATCCTCGTTAGTAATTAATAAGCAGAAACTTAATCTCTGTTCTCTCGAATGAGTGTTTCAATTTTTTTGCCAAATAATTTGTTAAAAAAAGTTTTTCAGGATCTTAATAAAATTTGGTGTTCTACGGTTTTTTGGGGTCGCTAATTACCAATTTGAAGTCAGTTTTTCAAAATTCAAAATGGCGGACGAGAATTAAAAAAATTATTTGGATTCGCTCGAAAATTGTTACTCGGGGGGTTTCAGGGTTAGCAAATTTGGTCATTTTTAAAAATAAGTTTTAGGAAAGTTCGCCATTTTGAATTTAAAAAATTTCACTTTTATTTTTGTATTTACATTCAATCACTCCAAAATACTTTCTGTACCAAGTTTTGCAAAAATCCGTTATGATTTGATAAAGTTATTGAAGGTTTTAATTGTGTAATGCATTTTAATTTTTAACCTGTTTGATTTTTGTATTTATATATGATGCATTATTACATAATAGGTTTATTATCGTATTTTTTTGAGTTTTTATATAAGTTTAACAATTGCAATACTTTAAATTTATTTTCCCTAAGATTTTTCTGAAATACAGTGGCGTTCGTATTTACCCCCATATTTTAGGAAAGTTGCAAAGTATCGAGGTAAATACGAACGCTAAGTTTCCTGCGATTGTAATTTATCAAAAAAAATTTCTACCCCATAAAATTGTTCTATGGAAGTAAAGTAACAACTTCATGCACCAGAATACCGGAAGTATTTTTTTTTTAAAGAAAAAACTTATGTTATTGTTGAAACTTACTAAAACCGTTCGGATTTACCCCGGTTGACCCTATAACTTTTCCGAAATTCAAGTATTTTTAATGATTTTCAAAATATTCTCTAAAAATTCAATTATCTGAAAACATTTTTCAATTAAAAACTTGAAATTCAATTTTTGTCTATTATTTCTAAAAAAGTACGTCAGCAACAGAAATAACCAAAAATTGCAATTAAAAATCACTTGACGTTAAAATTATTTTCAAAAATCAAAATTGTAATTCTTCGAAAATTCAATTTTTTTTTTTAAAGTTTAGGTATTTATTTATTTATTTATTTAATAATAAACGAGTTAAATCATACATAATTTAAAACATTTTATAATTACCTAAAAATTCTCTAAAATTCAATTATTGTCTAAAGTTTGTAAAAAAATAAATTATCATTTCAATTTAAATCATAATTTATGAAAATTTCAATTTAAAATCTGAAAATTAATTATTTTTAAAAATTTTAACTCACTCTTTGAAAATTAAGTTTTTTTCTAATATTTTCTCTTGGCTAAATTTATTATTTCGAATATCTTTCATGGAAATTTTTTGAAAATTTTATTATTAATAATACTTTCTCAATACATTCTAAAATTTAGTTATTCTCTAAATCTTTGAAAAAAAATATTCATCGCAATTTAATTTTACGAAAATTTTGATTAAAACTGAAATTTAATTGTTTTTTATAATTGTAACTGCAACTATTTTAAAATTTAATAATTTTTCAAATTTTTAACTTAAATTCTTTGTTGAATTAATTATTTCTGATAACTTATATCAAAGTCTTTAAAAATTCTATTAATTAACAAAATTCTCAATTAAACATTTTTTCAAAATTGAATTATCTTCTGAACTTTGTAAGAAATCTTACTGAATTTTAATTTTACCAAAATTCTTTTTGTATATCTCCTAAAATTCTAATTATTTTTGAAAAACTTAAATATATTTCCAAAATTCCATTACATTCAAAATTTGTATCTAAAATTCTTCGCTAAATTAATTATTTCATTCATTTTTATTCAATTTTTCAAAAATTTAAATTTCTTTTATTAAAAATTCTTTAAAATTTAATTATTGTTAAAAATTTTATCAATAATTTTCAGCAATTCAAATTTACAACAATTTCAATTAATAAATTAATTTTTTTTCAATAATATTTTAATCAAGTTCTTTGAAAATTTAATTATTTAAAGTATTTGCCAAAATTCTGAATTCTAATAATTTGTACAATATGACTTGGAATTTTTTCTTCTTTTAACTTTAAATTATTTATTTATTTATTTATTTATTTATTTAATAAACCAACGGGCTTATTATTTTTCTAAATTTGTCCTACTGAATTGAAATCTTGAAAATTTGTCAATATTTTAATTCTGAAGTTTAAAAAAAAAGTTGATGGAAATGATTCTGTGAAACATTCTTATAGAATTCGAAAAAATTTATTTATTTTCTAATAATTAATTTTAATAATAATGAAATATTTATTAACTAATAAAATTTTTAAAAATAAAAAATATCGACTTTTTCGATTTTTGTTGTAATGAAAATTGACTAAAATGACTTCTTTCTCTTTCTATAGTCAATCTGAGGCCTGAATTAGGAAAATTGGAATTTTTTTTAATCAGAAAATGAATTAAATTTTTTTTTAAATTTAATTTATTATTTTATCATTTATTTGTTACATACATTATTTTAATTGTTTGTTATTTTTTAACATTTATTTATTTTTTTTTAAATACATTTAAATATTTAATTTACACCGAAATTTTATTTTATTTATTATTATTTTATTTATTTTATTGAGAATTATTGAAAATATTATCGAAACGTATTGTAAATTTTGACAAACAGTATTATAAATATTATTGAAAAGTTTTGTAATTTATGCCAAACATGTAAATATTACCGTAAACGTATTGTAAATTTTATCGAATTTTTTTAAAATTATAATTTTTTTTTTGTTTTTTTTTTTTGTTTTTAGATTAAAGGGTCATAATAAGAGACCGCAACGTGTTGATGTCACGAAACTACCACCTCAAACTGAGCCAGAGTCTAATGGACCAACGCCGGTGAAAATTGCCCGATTGGCCGGAGTTCACGATCCTCACGATCCAAATATTTCCGATCATGTCGTTGCTGTCACTCAACTCAAAGAAACAATAGCTAATTTACAAAAGCAAATTACTATACGCGACAGTCAATTACTAACCAAGGATAAAATGGTAAATTATTTCTTTCTTTTTTTCAAAAATTCTTTCTTTATCGCATTTTTGTATTTTTTTCTTTTTTTGATTTTCCAGTTTTTATTCCGTATCTTTTTTTCTATTTCTAGTTTTTTTAATATATTTTTTTTTTGTATTCTATGAAAAATAATCCTTGATTCTTTTTCGAATTTTTTTATTTTTTGAAAATTTTCTTTTCTTTTTTTGAATGCTGATAACTTTTTTAAAAATCAAATAATTATTATTTGAGTCAATTAAATTTTATTTGTTTCAAATACAGAAATTATTAATTCAAATACAGTTTTTTTGATACAAATAAAAATTATCTGATTCAAGTAAATATTTATTTGATAATATAGTCAAGTAATCGATTATTTGAATCAAATAAATTTTTTTTTTTTGCAGTATAGAATAAAAAATAAGAATTAATTTAAAAAACAAATTTTGAATAGGGTTCTTTTTTTACAAAAGAATTTTTCATCTAAATTTTAGCGCCAAAAAAAAGTTTTTCCAGAAAAAAAATGTCTAACCATTTAATTTTTAATTTTAATTAATTTAATTGATTTCTAATTTTTTTTTTTTTTTTTTTTTGAAAATTAACCGTTATTTTCCATTTCTGGTCCATTTAAAAATTTGTTGTTTGCGTTTGGTTTATATTTTTACATTTTATAAAAATGTATATTTCGGTAAAATATAACAAAAGAATTTGAAAAAGAAAATAGACGAATTAGATAAATTTAAAAAAAGAATTTTAATTAGATAAAAAAAAATAATCCTTAAAAAAAAAAATGGTTTTTTCCACAGATTCATGAATTGAAGGCGAAAAATTTCACCGCCGAAAATGAATTACGCAATAAAATGAAATCAACGGAAAAAGAATACGAGGCAAAAATATCATCGATGCAATTGAAAATATCAAATTTGCTCAAAGAAGTGGCAACATTGTCAAAAAGTACAAAACGTGATAGAATTGCAGCGACAAAAAATGAGGCAAAAAGTGAAAACAGTGGAAGTGGTACCGACAGTCCTGTACCATGAGACAACAACATCATAGAACAATAATAATTGATTTTTCTTCTTCTTCTTCTACTCTTCTTCTTATTTTGACAAAAAAAATAAAAACATACACAAAAAACATATTACAATAAAACAAAAAAAAAAACAATGACAAAAAAACACCATATTCTCAACGGCTATTCAAATTTGGAACTCTGCGAATTTATGAAGAAGGTTTAGTAACATTTTTTTTACTTTGTAAGAACAATAATTAATTAATTTTTTTTTTTTAGTGATAATTACCTTTTTTTAGCCTATTTAAACAAATTTCTTTTTTTTGTTTAATTTCTCGTCTCTAGTTATTGACTAATTAATATTTGATTTTATGTCTCGCTGGCATTTAGATAATTATTTGTACTTAGGTTGCAATTTTTTTTTGTTCTCGAAAAAAAAAAATTCTCTTTTTAAATAAGAAAATTTTATCTTTCAACATTTCATTGTTATTTATTGCTTCCGTCGATGATACATATATATATAAAGAAAAAAAAAAAGGTTGTATTATTTTTCTAATTAGTTTAGAAATATCGATGGACAAAAATGATATGTTGGATGATTGTTTTTCTTTTTTTAATATTTGGCTTACGTTTAATTTCTTTTTTTTTCTGATAATTATTGAATCAGCGAATTTAACAATAATGAAAATGAAAAGAAAAAAAAAAGATTAACGATGAATTTAAGAAAAGAAAATCTATGTCTTCTCCCAAGGTTTATCCTTGATTAGAAGTACGATAACTACGATATTTTACTATTTATAAGTACTGTAAACCACGAAAAAAAAACCTGATTAAAACCTTAAAAAAAAAAAAATTACGGTGATTGTAGGAACAATTTTCAATAAAATTATCAAAAACTTTGAATTTTTCATTGTTTTGTTTGGATTATAAATAATAGAGTATAGATAATAATTATAGATTTCGTTTATAATTTAAAAAGAAAATTAGCAAATAAAATTACCAAAAATTTTTAATTCAAAATCACTTGAAATTTAATTACTTGCAAAAATTTCAATTACTTTTTAATGATTCTTATAATTTTCTTCGCAAATTCAATTATCTGAAAGCATTTTTCAATTAAAAACTTTTGGAATTCAATTTTTTTATGTAAATTCTTCATCAACAGAAATCAGTAAAAAAATTCTCTTATTATAATTATTGTCCGAAATTTAACACAATCTTTTGAAATTCAATTATTTTCAAAAATTTCAATTTAAAAGCTTTTAAAATTTAATTATTTCTAAAAAATTTGCATTTAAAATTTTTTGAAATTTAATAATTTCAATTATATGTAACTTTTCTGAAATTTAATTATTTTTAATGATTTTTTTTAATATTCTTCGAAAATTCATCTATTTGAAACCATTTTTTATTTAATAAGTTTTCAAATTATTGTTTTTTTTATCTGCAATTTTTAATAGATTTTTTAGTTAAAACATCAAAAATTTTAAATGAAAAATCACTTGAAGTTGGAATTAATTTTAAAAATCTAAATTGTAAATCTTTGAAAATTCAATTACTTTTAAAAGAATGTTATCTAAAATTATTTGATAAATTATTTTTCATTCTGTAAAATTTAATTATTTTATGAAATTTTAAAATATCTTTTGAAATTTTAATTATTTATAAAAAATTTCAACTGTAACTTTTCCAAAATTCAATTATCTGCTAGAATTTTTCAATTAAAATCTTTTGAAATTTAATTACTTCCGAAAATTTTCAACTATAATTCTTTCTAAATTCAATTATTTTCAATAATTTTAATGAAATTCTTTACAAATTCAATTATCTAACAATTAAATTATTTTTTCATTAAAAATCACTTCAAATTCAATTATTTTCAAAAATTTAACCTCTTAAAATTTAATTATTTCTAAAATTTTCCATCTAAAACTTTCTGAAATTTTATAATTTCAAATGTGACTTTTCCGAAATTCAAGTATTTCTAATGATTTTTATAATATTCTTCAAAAATTCAATTATTTGAAAGAATTTTTCAATTAAAAAGTTTTTAATTTCAAATTTTTGTCTGTAATTTCAAATAAATTCTTCAGCAACAGAAATCACCTAAAAATCTAAAAATTTCAATTAAAATTCCTTTGAAATTCAATTACTTTCAAAAAAGTGTTATCTAAAATTTTTTGAATAATTAATTTGAATTCTGTAAAATTTAATTATTTTCTGAAATTTAAAAAAAAAATTTGAAAATCAATTATTTCTGAAAATTTTAACTGTAGCTCTTCCAAAATTCAATTATCTGATAGCATTTTTCAATTAATATTTTTTTGAAATTCAATTACTTCTAAAAATTTCAACTACAATTCCTTCAAATTAAATTAAAGAAGAAAAAATTAAAATTTACAAAATTTAAAATTTTTATAAAATTCAATAATTGTTTAAAATTTCTAAAACAGCAGCAAATAAAATCACCAAGAATTTAAAATTTAAAAATCCCTTGAAATTAAATTATTTTCAAAAATCTAAATTATAAAATTTTTGAAAATTCAATTAGTTTTAAAAAATTTGATAAATTATTTTCAATTCTGTAAAATTTATAATTATTATTGTCTGAAATTTAAAAATATCTTTTGAAATTGATTTATTTATTTATTGCAAAATTATGTTTTAGGTAGTTTTCAAAAGTAATGAAAGAAAGCAAAAAAATTAAACAAGTATTCAATAAAATATAAAAATATTTTAAATATTTTTAAAAATTCGTAATTTTACATGAAAATTTTGTATTATAAGAATTGTTTTTTGAAAAAAAAATTTTTTTTTTGGTTGAAAATTATTTGAGTAATATTTGAAAATTTTTAAAGGTTCTGTTCGCAAAACTAATTTCAAAAAATTGATTCTTTTTAACATATTTTGAAATTAAATAATTTTTATAATTTCAAAAATAGAAATTTTTGAAAAATATTGTATACGTATTTTATTTACTATTTTTGGATGTAATTAAGGCTTAAATATCAATAATTTATATTGAGAGTTGATCCTGTTTGTGTATATTCCTTTCAAAACATAACCTATAATTTTTTGCTTCTTAGGACCCTTTCTTCAGAGCAAGTCCAATATTTTAATATAATTAATAGAATTTTAATACTATTAATTTTACTTTTTTTTTTACTTTTACTTTAATTAAAATAAGTTTCTAAAAATATTATACCCTAAATTTTTTTTTCTTTGCTAAAGAATTAAGCAATTAAAATTTTTAACTGTTTTAATAAATAAAAAATTTCTCTATTTACTTTTTTTATCAACGGCTTTATATTCATAAATGTATGCGAAATATAAAAAAAAAATTTAATTTTACATAGGACATGACGAACACATTTTCTACACATTTTACAAAAATATAATTTTTAAAAATACTATTAAAAATAACAAATTTTTTGAAAAAAAATATTATTTTTAAATTCTATGTTCCACGACGAGAAAACCATAAAAAAAAACTATCAATTATTATAAATAAAAATTTTTTGTTTTTAACTTTTTCAACTAGATTTTGAGAAAATTGTTTTTTTTTTACATATTTTCAGAAACTTGTTTTGATCACAGTAGGAGTAAAAAAACAATTTAATTTAGAAAATTAAATTTGTTAATTTAGAAAATTAAGTTTGTTTATTTTGGATGATTTGTTTGAAAAATAGAAAAAATGCTAAATCAAAGACTCAATAAGTTGCAGGATCTGGATTTTAGTAAAATTGAGATTTTCCCTTGAATTCGATGACAATATTTCTATATGGGAATTGGTTTAAATTTATTACAATCAATGAATAATAATAAAATTAAAATTAATTTGAAATTAAATTTGAAAATTAACCTTAAAATTATTTTGAAAATCAATGAAAATATTGCTATCTAAAATCTAATTGGAAATTAAATTTAAAACTTGTTTTGGAAATCAATGTAATTATTATTTACTGAAATAATTGAAAAATTAATTGAAAAAAAATGGTAAATTAAAAGGAAATTAATTGAAAATTAATGTCAAAGTTTATTTTGGAAATTAATTGAAAATTAATGTCAGAGTTTATTTTAGAAATTAATTGAAAATTAATATTAAAAAAAAAATTTTTTTTTGGGAATTCAAAAGGAAATTAATTGATAATTAATAACAATTTTTTTTTAATCAATTTGAAATTAATTGAAAATATTAATGTCAAATTTATTGAAAATCAATAGTCAATTAATGGGAAATTATTTGCCGATTTTCTTATAGAAATATTAAACGAAAGTAATTGCTAAACTATATATTCGAAATTGATGTGAAATTTAAAATAAAATGGAAAAAAATTTATTCGAAATTAATGGAATATTTATTGAAAAATATTGAAATTATTGGGAATTTAAATGGAAAAACAAATGAGTAAATAATTTAAAAATCAAAGGAGAAAAATAATTAAATTCAATCAGCAAAATATTTGAATATAAATAGATAATTAATTAGAAAATAATTGGACTGTTTTTATTATTAGATTATAATTATATCGCTGGGTTATTGGAAAAAAAGGACACGTCATAGTTAAATCAAACGGACGTATCCTTTTTTTCCACTAACCCAGCGATATTATTATTATTTATAATTAATAATATTTTACAATAATTTTAATAATTTACAATAATAATTATTATTAATATTAAATTCAATAAAAAGTTGTTATTAATATTAATTATTAATTAATTTATTTTATTTTCTTTTTTATTTTTTAATTATTTATATTAATTTAAAAGCAGTGGGAAATTAATAGAAATCAAGGAGCAATAATCAATTGTGAAAATTAAGGATAAATTAAATTGTAAATCAGTTCTAAAAATAATGAAAATCAATGAGTCATTAATTGAAAATTAAAAATGAAAATAATTTCAAATCTCTGTATATTAATATTGAAAATTTATTGAAATATTAAATGAAATGGAAAATTTAATAATTAAAAAATATAAATAATTGAAATTTTGGAAATTAATTTGGAAAAAATTGAAATTTTGAAATTAATTAGAAATAATTAAAATTTTGAAATTAATTTAAAAAAATTGAAATTTTCGAAATTAATTAGAAATAATTGAAGTTTTGCAATTAGATAATTAGAAATAATTAAATTTAAAAAAATTAATCTATAATATTAATTTTAGTCAATGGAAAACAGTACAAAAAAAAAAATTCGGAAACAATTGCAAATTTAGAAGGAAATCAAGTGGATAATTATGAAATGAAAATTATTGCAATTAATAATTATAAATAATTGAAAATTTGGAAATTAATTAAAAACAATTGATTTTTTGAAATTAATTAGAAAAAAAATGATTTATTGAAATTAATTAGAAAAAAATTGAAATTTTGGAAAGTAATTAGAAGTAATTGATTTTTTGAAATTAATTAGAAAAAAATTGAAATTTTGGAAATAAATTAGAAATAATTGAATTTTTGAAATTAATTAGAAAAAAATTGAAATTTTGGAAATCAATGAAAAGTAATTGAAATTTTGGAAATTAATTAGAAATAATTGAATTTTTGAAATTAATTAGAAAAAAATTGAAATTTTGAAAATAAATTAGAAATAATTGAATTTTCGAAATTAATTAGAAAAAAATTGAAATTTTGGAAATCAATGAAAAATAATTGAAATTTTGAAATTAATTAGAAATAATTAAATTTAAAAAGAAAATTTAACCTGATATTAATTTTACTAAATAGAAAACAAAAAAAAAATTCTGAAACAATTGCAAAAAAAGGAAATCAAGTGGATAATTAATAATATTTAAATTTGGAAATAAAAATAAGAGACTCAAGTAAATATCCAACAGCCATATATTTATTCTTTATTTTTAAGAAACAAATGCTAATTGAGCATTATCTATATCAA